AAAAAAAAAAAAAGATTAAAAAAAAACCAATACAAAAACAAAAATTGGAATTCACCCCCTCACTCCCCAGATTAGCTGTTGTACTTTGTTATCAGCGTATAAAGTGTTATCTATTTTGAAGTTCCCCATCTTTTTAAGGAAAAAACGAATAAACTTCAAATTTAGTAATAAACATTTTATCATTTAAAAGAACATTCTTTGCCGTTTAATTTTTGAAGATTATCTCTTTCAAATGTTGGCAACGGCTACGTCTCAGATGGTCCAAGATATATAGAAATCATAAGTCCATATGATTCCACCGGCCCACAAACAGCAAACCTTTGTTATTCTTCTGGAATCTCTTTAAGTTGCTCTTCGTCCCAAATGCGACAATTTTGCTTATTTGCATACCCATTGGCTAGAAATGGACTTCATGGCTGAACAAAATTTATTTCCAAAATCTCGAATATTCTTGAAACTTTTCAAGAGCTCATAGAGCGAAGCGATGTCGCTTGGGTAGGTCGATCGGCTTTTCGGTGATCGGATTTTTCGCAAAAGCTGTATTTTGTACCCTTTCAATTTAGTCAAAATAAATAAGTCAGTCCGAGTTTCTGAGAACGGCGCCGAATCGACTATCCACTGTCTTCGTGTACACTCTCAGGCACGGCTGCTATATTTTCTTCACTGCGAGCTGGACGAGCATAAATACTATTGATTACCTATATCAAACTTCCTTGAATGTGTATTGAAACATTACATGAATCTAAAATTAAAATCAAAATAAAGTAGTGAGATCGCACAATAATCAAACAAGGCGTGTTATTAATTATCTTATTATTTAATTTAGCTACGTATATCTGTATATTTAATATATACAATCATATCACATAATTTTATAGAATGCAACTTATGTAAAACTATAAATATTTTTTGAATAGGCATAATTACATACATACATACATTAGACATACATATAAAGCGAATTCAATACGAATTAAAATATATTGATTTGATATTTCAATAAGCTTATGTTGGATGATATTCTATTTGGTTGATGAATCCGGAAAAGCCTCGCGTGGAGGCACAAAACTCAACATCATGATGTGACGCGTATAGGATTTGGTAGCCCTAAATAGAATATCAGTGCCATGTAGGCGATCCAAAACGCCCAGCACGCCAAAGCAATTGTTGAATCTGTTAAACAGTAGAGAAATTAAATTTAGCCGATTAAATTCCTACAAACACTGTTTTACTTACTTTAAATGATGAAAATCGTGTGCCTCCGGACTGGGAAAGAAGGGCAGATGATAACCGGAATGTGCGTTAAGTGTAGACAAAATGGCCAGAGCAAACCACATCCAAGCCGTAGCCACGTGTGTGTTCATCAGGAATACGCCAAGGAATGGTGGCAATAGATTGCTGAAGATATGTTCTATTGGGTGGCAATAAATTGCAGTCACCGCTATTGGCGCTGTCCATTCGTGATGCTGTTTGTGTATGAATTTGTAAATATGCTTGTTATGTAATAGCCGATGTGAATAATAAAAGCCCAGCTCCTCCATTAGAATGCATACGGTCAGCTCCACGCAAACCCAGTGGAATGTAGGTAATTCACGTATCGAGTTCGGACCGCGCAGCGTCATTAGCTTATAGCTGAGGAAAGCGAATGGAATGCCGACAAATACTTGGTTGCTAATTACCCGCCATATAACCTGGTGATACAATTAAAACGGATAAATTACAATTAGTTAGCAGTTACAAGCGGTGTGCAAGTTTTTATAACGGTTCATATTATTTACCTTCATTAAACGTTCCCTCTCAACTGGTTCATTCGTGCCTGGCTGAATTTTGTATTTGCGCAGGAATGCTGGACGATTAGTCATGTCCATGAAAGTGTAAATACCGCCAACAAACCAATAGACTATCATCGAGAATATAGTGCTACCGAATACCCAAAGGATCATGGGATCATCGCCTGAAAGGCATGCAAACAAACGAATGTACCATACAATACCGACTTTTGAATATATTAGATAGTCGAAAAAGTCTTTTCGTATTTTGTCAATAGATGTCGTTGCAGTCGTATATCTGCAGTACCACCAATCACATTGTGTCATACCAAATAATGTTGGAAATGTGAGATTTTAAGCTGCGTTTAACCAAAAAAAAAAAAAAAATAAATTTGCGGAAGTTGAAAAAAGTTACAGCTCTTCAAAAGTGAGTGAAAATAATGGAGAAATTCACTAAATTTTTAAATTTTTATATAAAAATGGGAAGAATGCTACGCAAGTCACCAATGAAATCTGTGAAGTTTATGGTGACGATGATGTATCAGTTCGTGTAGCACAACAATGCTTCGCTCGCTTCCGTTCTGGAAATTTCGATCTACACTGATAGAATAATGTCTCTAGCGCAAAAATGGCAAAAATTGGTACCTATTTTTTAATGATTTACTATTATTGGTACTCGTATTATTATAAATAAAAGTTGAAGTTGATTAGAAATACGAAAAGACTTTTTCGACAACCCAATATTTTATATCCACGTATTTTTTATACCAGAGTGTGTGTATGTATTTAATTATGCTTATATTTTGTAAGCATTTGTCTAGTGAGGTTTTAAATGTAAATAATTGTAAAATTTTATAAATATAATATATTCTTACAACACTATGCCAGTGTTTTGGAGAACCAAAAATTTTTATCAAAATCAGTAAAACAATTCAATTAGCATAGCAATTTAATGATTTAAGTAATTATACGCATACCAACTGGTTAGCTCTTTATAAAGCCGGCATCAAAATTAAACATGGGCAATTCGCCGTCCACCTTTTGCTTTTAAGTTATGTCATCTTAAGCATAAATTTCTAAAAATTTGATCATAACTTTTCAAGTCCTTAAATAGCGATGTTGTGGTTTCCAGTATCTATAACTGACTCTTTATCGAAAATGTGGTCTATTTGTGAGACATATAATTGAAATTCGAACATAATCTCTTTCTGATAATAATTTATCCTTTTGTTGAAAATGGGCTCAATAGTATTTTCAGTCCCCATATACTTCGTATATTGATTTCTGAATTTCTAGTTAAGTTAAATCTGAACTTCTCATATTACGGTATCTGTGCCTCCAGTTACTTTCAATTAAGTGAGAATTTATTAATGGTAATACATATTAATATATACATGTATGTATTTTGGATATCTGAGTGTACCTTCCCACAGCACCAATTGAGCTCGGCTTTAATTTTTGCAATTGCGAGAGTGTAAAATGTTCCGTTACGCATCAATTTAGCCTTTCCTTACTTGTTAAAAATATTTTAGTTCGCAAATCTCAATGAACTCCGTAATGTTTATAAATATGATATGAAAATTAGCCTACATTTTGGCGCGAAGATGTATTAATATGCAGATTTTAGGAGAAAGGTCAATCAAACACGAACGCTTTCTTAATTGTGAATTGAGCTCATGTTATTAAGTGCCACATGCATTTATACATACCCACTGTGACATACATATGTACATGAGAAGCTAAAACTGATGTTTTTTATTATTTGCCTCTTCGAACATATGCATATGTATGTATGTAAAGGGTGATCCATGTATAATTAATTTTCGCAATAGCCATTCTTTGAGAGATCACGCGTGATGAGTCGTGTCAAGCTGTCATGTTATTTTTGTTCAGTATTGTTTGGAATTTTCCCATGGAAAGACTTACGCCTGAACAACGTTTACAAATCGTTCAACTTTATTACGAAAATTCACATTCGGCGCCGTTCGCAGCAACTCAGACTGACAAATGTTACAGCGATATCTTCAATTGAAAGCGTACAAAATACAGCTTGTGCAAGATCTGTAGCCACTCGTCCTTCCCAAGCAACATGGTTTTGCTTTACGGATTCCTGAAAAGTTCCAAGAAGATCCGACGTTTTCAAGCCAAAATTGGTTCAGCGATGAGATCCATTTTTGGCTGAATGGGTATGCAAACAAGTAAAATTGCCGCGCATACATTGAGACGAAGAGCAACTTGACGAGATTCAAGAGCTGCCATTCCATCCAGAAAAAAAAAATGGTTTTACGTATTTTGTAGGCCGGTAGAATTATCGGTCCATACATCTTCAAAAATGATGCCGGTGAGAATGTAACCGTCATTGGCGACCGTTTTTGCGCCATTATAACCAACATTTGATGCCTGAAATTGAAGCTCATGATCTCGGCTACATTTACATTCATCCAATTCAGACACATCGTATCTATCAATGAATTTATTAAGCGAACACTTCGGTGAGCAGATAATTTCACGTTTTGGGCCGGTCGATTGGCCACCAAGATCGTGTAATGTCACGCCATTAGACTTATAAAGTCTAAAGTCTATGCGGCCAATCCGGCTTCGATTCCGGCGTTGGAGGAAAACATTACACGTGTCATTTGCCAGTCACCAGTTGAAATGATCGAACGAGTCTTTGAAAATTGGACTGAACCGATGGAGCATCTGAGACGTGGTCGCTGGAGATTTTCTTTAGAAAAGTAAGGTACCTCGAAATGGATCACCCGTTATTACTGCTTATGTGTGTATTATATTAAAAGCCGAGCTTCTTTGTTGCGAAATATACATACGTGAACTACTCACACGAATACATTAATAAAATTTCAGTGTATATGTACAAATATATGTAAGTACTATATATAAAGTGAACATTAATTTAAGTAGTTCTCACCATTTAATTGAATCTGACAAGTGATATACATATTTCACAGGCGTGTAAGATTTAGCAAAAACAAATTTTTGCAAATCAGAATTTTTATATATGTATGTATGTATGTGTGCGTGGACGATACCGGCTTACAGGGTTGATTAAGCATGCAAACAAAAGCAATTGACTCACACATAATAAATGTGCAAACACTTGTTGATTCGGCGGAGAATACGAACATACATACAAGTATTATGTTTATAAATAAATTGTAAGTTGTAAATAAATAAAAATAGAAAATTAGAAAGTATTTGCACTTATTATCTACAAAAATCGTTCTAACAATATGTAACCATGTAAACGTGTATAATTTAGTACAAAAAAAAAAAGACATGATAGATACCGCAATAATACGAATATAAGTGAAAAGCCTCCAAAACTAATTATGACTAAGAATATTTACAAATATTCATGAGTAAAGAAATAGCTGTGTACTTAAGTACATATGAGACGTACTATATGTCAATACACACGTGAGTTCGTGGGTACGGTAATGGAGCTCGTTCTGCTATTTTCAAAAGCTTTTGGTATTTATGGTTTGTTTTGTTTACATTTTTCTTAGGCACATGGTTACAATTTGAACAAGAATGACCGTGACCATCACAATCACGCGTAGCAAAGAAGATTAGATTGCAGTGTTACAAAGATACATTTCCACACATACATATTTGTGTGTATAGGTTTCATGCATACAGTGAACTTCGAGTAAACGAAATTTGATTAGAAAATGTTAACAACGAGAAAAACTGAAATTATGCTTTCTAATAAAATCAATACCATATGAAAATCAAATTTGACTCGGACTGGGCCATTGAAACTGTGCATGTCAACTGAAGGTTCGTGGGAAGCTTGATCTCCACATCTCAATTGTTGAGTGTTTATTTAGCAGCATATTTGGACAACCGGGTTTCTTACAATTTTGTGCTTTCAATGGAAGCACGGCTGTGGAATCGTTCAAAAGTGTTTTGTGGAGATTAACTCTAACTTTATATCGAACACAAGGTTTTGAATTTTTTGAAGGCGATAACAAGAATTTATATTAATATACATGATAATATAGTTCTTTTGTCAGTCCGGGACAAATTTGATCAGATGGCATATATGTAGATATTAAAAATTTTCAATTTAGATGATTTTGCAAAAAATTTAATTTTTACATAAGTTCCTGAAAATTATTTAATTATGAAGGGAAATACTATACCATATATAGTTTTTTATACCCCCTAACGGTTGTACGTATGACCTAAAACTAAGTGAGATTGAAATCCGGTTGACTGTCTGTCCGTCCGTGCAAGTTGTAACTTGAGTAAAAATTAAGATATCTTGATGAAACTTGGTATGCGGGTTTCTTAGTAAAAATAATAAGAGCTCGTAGATGGACGTAAATCAAGAAGTAATTAATATAACGGGTTACGAATTTGCGCAAACATTTTTTTAAGTGCTATGCTACCTTTTGACCGAAAATTGTACAAATCCAACCAAAATCGTTCAGTCCTCTAGGAACCGAAAATGTGAACCAGTATCTACATATAGTTGACTTTTGACTGAAAATATCGATCAATGTGGGAGATTTATAACACAAATTCATACAGAATTCTTTCCTGATAATAGTAACTCTGTGTACCAAAAATGGTTTGAATCGGGTCAGTATTTCCTTGAGCACCCATATACCTAATATAAATGTTTTCGAACTTCCAGCGATTTGAGTTATCTCTACAAAAATTACATAGCATTTTTTCTCATAAGAGGGTATCTTTGTGCCTAAAATAAATAAAATCGTGCGAAAACTTGACCCAGCCGCCATATAACTATTATCAGGATTTTTGAACATCCTGCCTGACTTTGCTTCATATGATTGGTGATTATACATATGTAACGTACCTTGAAACCCAGGGAACATTTTTTTGTATAAGGCATTATAATAGTTAATAGACAAATTTTGATCTATACTACCCATATACTACATATAATGATTTTCTTTTTTCTAACAAACCTGATGACAAATTTGTTAGGCAATGTATGAGTTATATAAAGTATATGCATATATAAAACTGAGTAGTTTCCGATCCTCTGGTTGACGTTTTACATCTTAAGATATTGCCTAGATGTTGATTCTTGCAAGTTGCAAGAGTATAAAATGTTCGGTTACAACCGAACCTAGGCCTTTCTTACTTTTTATTTAAGGGGTTTAGACTTTGCACACTGAACAAAGAAAAGAAATGAGCATTTAAATATGTTTCGATAAATATATTAACAAAGAGAGTGTAAAGAATACCTTTCATAAACTATTATTTTGATAAATACATATGTAAGTATGTATATGTATAACAAAATATTAGAAAGTGTTTTTGCGCCTATAAGAGTTTTCCAAATAGATCGTTAAATAAATGGCTATTGAGTAAAGGTCTTAAATTATAGAAATCTTTTTCAATAGTGGGTGAGTGGGGACGCCCCTTTATACGATTTCTCAAACCTCTACCATACATTTCATTACGGCATATCATACAAATTCATTAGCCGTTCGTAAAACGTGGATTAAATAATCTAGGTACCTATATTTCTATAATAAAGTAAGACTTGTATCTCTATAGACTAATAAATTATAACAACATTGCTTAATTATTAACGGAATGAGCTTTCATACAAAGTATGTAATTATTTATGGGTTTTAATATCGGATTTTTTCGAACAAAAGAATTTAAAGTTTTGCGTTTGGTTGTATTTGGTATATGTTATCTTAAGGAAATTGTTTACTTTCCAAATTAAATAGAAGCGTTTCCACAAATAGAAATAAAAGTTTATGTACATATGTATGTATGTATGTGTCGTATGTATATGTAGGTCATTTAGTTTAACTATATTTTTGTAAGATAGAACCTACATAAATGTAAATTCAAAACGACGCTTCGTTTAAGCTTTGATAATAAGAATGAAAGCTTCTTCGCAATTAGTAAGCCGCAGCGAAGGCACAATAGCCGTTGAATCTAAATACTCGTGCAAATGTATATATATATATATGTCATATACATATTTGTATATAGATATGTACATAGTATATAAAAGAGATAAAACCTCTATATTGCTTGCTATTAATATTTTTAGTGGTTTATTAACGATGGGCTATAAAATACCAGCGTGGCTGTAGGAATATGAGAGGAGGCCAAACTAGACATAAATAGTTTGTAGGAGTCACAATAATGAAAACTATTTGGTACTTCTGTCGAAAAAATATCAAAATCGAAAAGCTTTAAGGTTTAAATTTTATTACCCAGAACAGGGTATATTAAATTTTACACAAACTTTGTAACAGTTAGAAGAAAACTACTACTAAGAACGAAAACTAATTCCTCAGTTTTTGAGATATGGATCTGAAATTTTGCACACGTTCTTTTCTTTCCGAGCAGTTATTCATTTGACATATCGGATCACTGTGATTCAATCGAAATCAAGTCTTTGAATAGAAGACTTCTTTGATAGATAAGATATCTGCTCGAAATGCGATCATTCCACAAAGCTCTTGTTGTGTTGTTGTAGCGGCAGAATTTTGTCGAGTTGATAGTCCGTGACGGGATAAAAAATACGGATCCGTTCCGATTACGTTCACCCGACTATCGTAGGAACGTCATGTTATGTCCTTTTATGCTATAAGAAAAGCACCTGTGAAGGGTATTATATATATATAATTTAAAAATTTCAAATTCTTTAGTATGTAAGTGCGTATGAATAGCAACTGGTCGCGTGTGAATCTATGTAGATTATTTTGGTAGATAACACGGATTAGCGTTTACGACCTGATGACCTACTGCATTAGGTGCTAAATATTGATACTAAACAGACGTCATAAATCACTATTATTGACTATTACGCAAATTTACTTCAAATTTCACTTGGATGACATATTCCAGACACTTATTTTGCTTTCAAGCTTAAGATTTTAACTTAAACAAAGCTTGTTGCGGTCCGAAAGCCAAAAAATAATAATGGAGAAGGCTGTGAACTTTTATCAGCAATAAACGGAAGAGTGATACACACTTGTATGTTTAAATTTACATACAAACACACATACTTTCAAAATTACACAAACAATCATCACCGTTCAAGTACGATTAGTACAAATTCCTTTCGCTGTGCACTTACCTGTTTTATCGATAAATTTATCCCATTGCGCTTGCCAGAAATCGCCCGATGCACCCCAGAAGCTTTGCAAATGCCTGAGTAGAAACATATCCAAGTAATAAAATTTCTCCATTATCAATGATAGTACAAACGATAATGTTCAACTGAAAAGGTGCATATATCGTGTATTTGAGTATCTATGCCAAGGCTTCCAGTTTAAAACTAAACCAAGCTGAACTTGAAACGAAAGTCGGAACTGCAATGCTAGGCAGTTAGTAAATACATATGAATATATATGCGCATACATATGTAATTACAGAAACGAAAATGGAAAATCACTAATAAACAAGAAAAAATACACTAAACGTAATGGAAGAATGTACGATGGAGAACCGAAATTCTGGACGGTTGTTAAAAGAATGTCAACTGGTGCCTGTGTTGTGATGGTCGAATGTATGTTATATATGGTACATAGTAAATGGAAATTGACGGACAGAGTGGGTCTCAATGGGCTGCGCAATGATCTTTGCGCTCCTAAAGAGGTCTAAATCAAAACAAAGCGATCGGGAGATTTTACTCTCACCAATTAGCACGCAAGCAGCTACATATATAAAATTGTATCTATGAGTATGCAGAGATGTAAAATGAGAGTTGCGCGGTTTCTTTCTCTGTCTCTCTCTCTGAGTTGGTGCACTGGAAAATTGTTGCTATGTATTGGTTGACGTTCAATTGCGACTTACACTTTTGTAATGCAATCTGCTCGCGCTTACAATACAAATATGTACAAACATACTATTTGACTGACCCACAAGGAAAAGTTGAGTGATTTTCTATGTCTTTCTACTATCTATATATGTAAATGGGAGATTACTTCATATATATGTAATATATCGTCACCTAAAATGCAAAATAATGTATCAGCAAAAAAAAAAAAATAATAATAATAATTGAAATTAAGTTTTTTATTGCTTATGATGTAGTGAACATCATATTGCATATAGATAGCATTAAATTTTCAGCTTTCGCTGTCAGATATAACGAATATGTAACCAATACATAACCACTTTATTACCAAAACTCAAATTTTGTTTCTCTATCAGACGTTTCTATTATATCGTTTTTCCTTCGCCTGTAAACTTATGAAAAGTGAAAGTTTTGAATTTTAGGGGATGATATGTATGATATGATGTTTTTTAAAACTCAGGAGAAAAGTGCTGATTTGACTATTTACGACCAATGCTGATGTGAATATTATCTACTAAATATTCTTCTCATTACAAAAAATTAATCTCTTTTGAATTTACTTCAACACTTTTGATTGCATGCTGACAACAGCTGTCTTCAACTCGCCAAGTGCCGAAGAGTGATGAAACGAATAAAATGTACCAGATAACATGTCGGTTGGCGCTTGCTTTCTTTTTGTAGATATTCTTTCTACAATAAAAATATTTTAGTAACCTTCGAGAATTACGTAAAGTTCGTGAATAAATATATTTTATTTCAAGTCTAGTCTAAAATGTGTAAGGCAGACCTTGGTGGCATTAAAAATAAACACCACTTCAATGTGTCATCCGCATACTCGAAAAATGGCAAATCGAAGACGCGTACTGTGAGAATAGCGCCAGTCCAACAATTTCCGACAGGGTTTGGCTTTGTTTAGGCCTATTTGTTTACATGAAAAATTCATTGTTTCTTTGTGAAAAAAAACAAAAGCTTGTAGGAAAATCAAGTAGTCAAAAGTCAATTTAAAAAGTTAATTCTCTATAGTTTTTGGAACAAGGTTTCTGATTGATTATAAATTTTTAAACAAAACAAAAAACAGACCAGGCACCTTCTGCCGAAGATAACCTCATACCTATATATTGCATCATTAGATACTTTCGTTAAGTCACTAATGCCACACTTTTCAGTCTTCACTGTTCATTTCGCCTCTAATTCTGTATTTTAATTCGAAAATAGAGTATTTGAAAACACTTTTATGCTTTATACTTTCTCTTTTGGATTTTTACAATTTTGTAAAAATTAAATCGTTTCTTATATGTGTATATGTACATATATGTAGCCGTAGGTTTTTCAGAGAGAGCGAGAGCGAGCTTAGGTATTATATACATATATTTATCGTATATATGTATGTATATACTCAATTATATGCGTAATTGTGCAAATTGTAAACAATATTGGCGCAACGTCAAAAGTAAACAATCGGTCAAGTGCGGACTGATAAAATATGTCCCCATACAAATATTTATATGTATGTCGTATGTATATAGGGATTAAATGCTGGTACATGTGTGCATGAATGTGAAGGAACCTGTATGCTTGAATCTATACATTAATGTGAATGTGTGTGTATGTACATATGTTAAATATGGAAGGCAAACCCAAGAAGAAAGTAGTGACAAAGGCAGCGGCATTTCATGCCTTTGAATATGTGTAGATACATGTACATGTGCATACTAAAATACACATGTATGTATATATATACATACATACATAAATGTGTGTACTTTAAGATATTTTTGTTGCGTATAAACTGAAAATATACTTATGTATGTGTACATACATACATATGTATATACATTGTTTATGAATGTTGTTTTGAATCAGGTGGAAGGCAAAGCGGTCATTAGCATTTCATTGAGTAGTGAAATATAGGAAAATTCTTTTACACGGATTTTAATACGAGTAACGTTAAAGCAGAACCAAGAAAATACAAGTTTATGAATTTATATATGACTTTCAGTGCTTTTGTTTATTTAGCCATCACAGTTATTGGTTCAAACACAGGCATATTTGGATTAATTATTATAACGGAAAACATTGAATGACTACGATACAACTGACGTTCAAAATGCCGTTAATTGTCAGTTAACTTCCTAAAAGTGGCCAAGCTACTTAAAGAGAGATTACTTTGGATTTGAAGGACGTCATATTTTTGTCGGAATATTGTATTAGCATTAATGGGTTAGGAGTAGTCAGAGGCACGAAAAAATTACAATTTTTAGTATTTTTTGTTTGCTATTAAATCGTGTTATTTTACAAAAGTAGTAATATGGCATTATTATAGAATGTGTTGACTTGAAGTCACGAAAATTTCAAAAAAAAAGCTTTATTTCCAAAAAAGGAACTTGCAGTGACAACCTTCAGTTCTTGGAGATTCATCTAAAATCAATCGGACAAAACAAAAATTAGTTTTATAAATAGATAATCCTGGGGCTGATCGAAGGATTTTTTTTTTTCAAAATTAACAAAATGGCGGCCCCAAGAAATTTTTTTCTAAATTTTTGCGAAAAAGTCAACAGTTAATTGGTTTTAAAAATTCGAAATTTTTGAAAAAAAAACCTTCGATCAGGCCCGAGTTTATTATGCATTCCAAAAGCTGTATAAATTTCATTAAAATCTACTGTTTCGCACTAACGCTTTGAAGTGCCCGATCTCTCTTTGTTACTTGTAGAATAATTCAAAAACTAATTATCGGATCCACATAATTATAAGAAAACGAAATTAACTTTGAACAAGAGGATATACATAGGTATGTGTATATATATATATGTATATACATATACATATTATGTACCTTTATGCGTAACACTCACCAGGTAAGGACGTTTCGAAACACAATGAATACTGCTAGTGCACAAGTTATAATGAAAATGACACTGTGTAAAGATGACAACCAGCGCCGCTTTTTGGGCTCCATTGGTGGGGCATAACCAATACTTGATAATGGCGATGGGGGTGGGGTATAATCGGAATCATCACCAGCAAGCAAAGCGATGCTATCGCCATGAGCATCAAAATCAATACGCTCCAAATGCTTTTCCGATTTTTCACTGTGCGTTGTTGTTCCACCGGCATTACCACTTCCTTTATCGTTAACACTGTTTCCACCATAACTATAACCACTAGCTGGAGTCGGTTGTGCAACATTGGTTTCCGTAACTGTTTTTATATTATTCATTGAGTTAGCGTTGCTTGTGTACGATGAATTTGTTGTTGTTGCAGTGGCATTAATTGAAGTTTTCAATTCGGTGGCCATTTTTTAATATAATTTGTTTTTGTATAGCTGATTAACTTTAATAGAAATTAGTAATTGCAGCGTTTGCTTTTATTTGTATTTAGTAAATTAAAAAATGTTTTTAATTATTTCACTTTGCTCATTTTCCGCAGTTAGTAATTTCAAACTTTGTATGCAGACTTAACTACATACATATGTATTTTTGTATATCTAAATTAATTAAACTAATCAGCATTTTTATGCTAAATCGATAATTTCGGAATATATTTAGTATAATATAAAAATCGATTGTTAACCATGAAAATGGGTTATCTTATTCCAATTGCTACCGCTGCTGATAAGTATCACTTTCGGCTAACTTCATTACTTTTTCTTAACATGAATAATGATTAATTAATCTTTTTTTAAATATACTTTCCAAATTGTTATTTTATTATAACTATAAAAATGTACTGCTACTGTTTGCCTCTTAATGTGAACAAAGGACACGAATTGCTCACATCAAAACAAAAACAACATGATTGATATCCTTTGTTTACATTTTGTTGGCTTGACGACAATTGGTTTCGAAAGCTTTCGCTGAATTTATACTAATTCTATAACAGTGTAGTAAATAAGAAAAATTTTCACATAAAAATGTGTATTTTTGCAATTAGCAATATCAATAACGAATAAAATAAAATAAGTAAATTATAAATAAAAATAATTTAATTTTTTTTATGTATTTCAGTTCTCGCTCCAAATATTTTCATTAACAATAACCAATTAATAAAAAATTATTGTTTATAATTCATATTAATCAATATGGCCAATACCGATCTGAATACTTACATACATATGTATATACATATGTATCCTTCATGGCATTTATGTCCCACTGTTCTGCAAAAGCTTCAATACGGCCTTGCCAGAAAATTTTAAGAAATTTCTGAAATGTGAAATGAGCTTTGCTTCTGGAGGGCATCAGCATTCCACATGCAACCATGTAGGCAGTCATTAGTTTTCTCTCTTTCGCACATACTTTGTTTTGAGTGATAAACGGAGAATTGGAAAAATAGCTTCAGCATACTTGCGCATCTGACAGCTGTTTAGTCTTTATTCACGTGTAAAATTGACAGGTACAAAATTAACGTAGTTGTTTTACAGTTTCTTGCCAATTAAATTCATTATTATAAGTGTTGAAAAAAATAAATTTGGATTTTTACTAGCATTATGCAATTTGTTTTTGCATTTCCAATTATTGCCGTGGATAGTAGCACAATATAGACAAAAACAATAGGGCAAATGATAAAAATGATATTGCATTCGTCGTTATAAGTTAGAGCGAGAGAGTACGATTGGATAGCAGTACGAAGTCGAAGAAATAAAAAAACAAATTACGAAGAAAGATAGATCGAAGACAAGAATAAATTTGATATTGAAAAGAAAATATAAATTTTAGTGTGATTACATGAAAGTGAGTGAAGAAATCAGCAACAAAGTTATCGTGAAAGTACGCAATACATTTAAAATATTCATATGCAATTAATTACAAACTATAATAAGTAAATTTATGCAAGTTGTACAATAATAAACGCCAAGCTAATAACTTATTTTGTAATACGTGCCGAGAAACAATAAAATAAAAATATCATGCTGAGGAAAAATATCTTTGCATGCAAAAATATTTTACGTCAGTTTCAGAAGGAGCATTGAACAGCTATTGCTTATATATGTACATATATATAAAGTGAATATTTTAGCTGCAAACCAGATAAAATGCATTTTATTAACTCAAAACTCGAAACAATTTGCATGAGTGATATAGAAATGACGTGGACGAAAAATGCACGATGAAGTATTGAGTATTAAAAGTTTATATTTAAGACCAATGAAGTTGTAGCAGGGATTTTAAATATTTGGTAGGAGCATGAAAGCAACGTCATATTTTGCACCCAATGTATGCTTATCCTCAAAATGTTCTTTTTTTGTTTGTATTACTTTGCTGCCGTGTTTCGGGAAGAAATATATGTTTATATACATATTTACGAATTAGTTTAAAAGCTGTTCATTTCGTATATATTTGATAACAAGTTTTCCAAGTTAATCATATTGGTTGCTTTTAATATATCAAACATATACCTACTTTGCAGTAGTCACATAAGACGACCTTCATTTGCTGGTACTGCACGCTAAATATGTGCAATGTTTATTTCTTGTTTTTTGGCTTGTGGAACTGTGCCATAGTCATACACATGTACTCGTATATAGGAATAAGCATTTGCATTAATACTATAGATGAATATAAAACAATATAAGTTTTATATTGTATAACAATAACGGCTGTGTCTCCCTAAGCGCGCAGTTACATCAACAACGGCTTTGTTTTTGCGTAGTGCTAAGTATTTTATAGAAAAAAATCTTGATTTCAAAATTTAAAGAAATTAGTGTAATTACATTAATATATATATATTTTCTTTTTGTTACGAAAACCTTAGTTATATAGATTCCATTCTTGACTTAGCACTTACTGCTATACGCTACCATACCTATCTCTACATTACAATGCACCATAATCCATACTTAATTGAAGTCAGCTGTGATTCGCAAAACATTGGAAATATTGAAAGATAAAGTGTTTTTAAGTATAAATGCTGATGTGCTGTGTTAATCTTCCTTGAAAAATGTTTGATATGCGCATAAGTAAACATTAATGAGTTCTCTACAATAGATTTAATATAATAAAGTTTAAATACCATTTCAGCCGTCATAGCCTCTCTGATTAATTTATATTTTCTTGCAGATACCAATAATCAAAATATACAACTATCAACTTAAGATAAATAAACGAGAATAGAGTCGAATAAGTACACAGATATAGTATATGCAAGAATCTCACAAACGAAACAAAGGAGGTGCATCTATGTATATTCTTCGATATTCTTGAGACAAGTGACGTTGTATTGTTTCCTGTTTAATAATTATTTTTTCGAGACCCAAAATAACCATATGGGTTAATACACCTACAATATAATAATTTTATTAAAGGAGAAAAAAACAAAGAAGTAAAAAACAATACATACATACAGAGATCAGAGCAAAGCGTAATAATTTGTGCGAATTAAAATATTCAGAGGAAATAGACAACTCAACACAGCAAATTTCTGTCATCGTGTGGCTAGTGAAACTACAGCAGTAGATTCGTGTGTCATAATATGCAAAATAAAGTTTTCTATATTAAAAACAAAGGCAAAACATAAAACAAGAAAGAAATAACAACGAAAACAAAAATACTATAAACACAAAAGACACAGAATTAAAGAGAAGTGAATATTAAAGACAAGTGACATTGTCGACGTGGGTGGAGTAGTATTGCAACGTTAGCATCTCTATGGATCGTTTCGATTTGGAGGATGTGGTTGCACCGCCAACACACACTGCCGATGCGCCACTCAAAGATTGGCGTCTCAAGTATCAAGCTGGTACAATAAAAAATAGTGATTTTACGGAGTTTTTTCAAAAACAAGCAAGGAAATATTTTCATTTCCGATATGAAAGAGAGCAAGGTGAGTAAATGTTTTACTATTATTCTCATTGAGCAATGTTTAGTCATTCATATTAATTACCGTTATACGCAGACCACATAGTAAGTGACTGAAAGTAACAAATTGTCATTTGTCTGCTCTTTGACAATGGTGGTAGCGACGACGGTTGTGGTTATTTATGTGCTTTGGTAACATTGACCATGGCAACATGATCTGATAACACACGTGTATAATTTACATGACTAACAAATGCTAAAATTGTAATGTTATTCTAGTTAAGAAGATATGTATGTTAGATTTCCCATCTACAGAGGTTTTTGAGGTTTTATATTCTAGCACCACATGTCGCTCGTGGGTGTTATATTATACTTTGATAAGCGGTTGCTTGTGAAAATATTTTTAAATCTAGCATCTAGTTTTAATTTTATTTAAAGATACTTCAAAAAAATAAATAAATTATTCGTAAAAAATCCTATAAGAAAAAACAAGTTATTCAATTTTGAAAAAAATATAAATCCCTAAATATCTCATATAATATTTAATTTTTTTTTTTTAGAGTTTCGGGGTTTAGGTTCTTATTGTGGCACGTATACATTGAGATAAGATTTAGTATGCATGCATACCTACATATGATATACATATGTACATATTTGACTGATATGGTTGGAGTATAAAGTTCCGTTACGCTTATAAGTAGTATTTTCTTACTGGTTTGCCTTGTTTCAGTGTAAAACTGTGCTGTATATTGTCTCTTGTTCATATTAGTACAATGAAAATTGAAACACAATTGAAAAATTGCTATATATTGTAATAAATGGCAAAAATTTGTTTATGTGGATTGAGGAGAAACATAATTATACATACATAAGTAGTGGGGATTTCTTTAGTTCTACAATTTTTGCTTTATTAAATGCAGTGAACTACTCACTCAAATCAATAATTGTTATAATATATTTATACTATATGACTATATCGTTGAATGAACATAAAGCTCGTTAATTTATTAATGCGAGTTAAACAAATTAGCAATAGGTGATTGACTGCCGTGAGAAATTTCTCAATAAAACATCTTTCAATCGTGTGAACATAGCTGTTAAGCACGACACTTTAGAGCAAGCAAAAACTAACATTATTTAATTTTTTTATTAAGAGGCTTTTTATATAATGAATAAGTAATAAAATACGTTTAGGGGATTTTATATACTGTTGTTGTTGTAGCGACCGAATTCTCCCGAGTTGATAGTCCTTAACCGGATAAAGAATACGGATACGTTCCAGTTACGTAGACCCGACTGTCGTGTAACGGTATTGAATGTACTGTAATTGTCGACGATTACTTTTAAAAACTCTTGGCTTTCCTTGATTTCGCGGACCTCCGAAAAATGAGGCTTCGCGATGAAAATTTTTTTTTGCTTAAAATTATCTAAAATGCCCGACCATGACGAAGTTCGATAACAATTAGCCGTCTAAAGAACAACAAATTGGCGGGGGCCGATTAATTGCCGGCCGAGCAATTGAAATACGGCGGCGAAGAACTGAGAAGGAGCATTCATCAGCTTCTTTGTAAAATATGGTCGGACGAAAGCATGTCCAACGATTTAACAAACAGTTGCTACTTCGGATTGAGTAGGCAATTGCGAAGTAAAGTCCTCTCTTGACAAACAAAAATCAAACTATAAGTCACTCATTAATTCCGTATGGCGAAATGGTGCAGAGGCTTGGGCGATAATAAC